TCTTTGGCTAGATCTAGGAGTGTGTATTTAAATAATAGTTGTATTAACAGATCTGCCTTGTATAGATAATATCCTGTCGCTCACATCTACCAATTCTTGGTACCCACAATCAGGAAATCACGAGCTGCATTGCCCTGGGGAAGTCTACAGTTAAGGACCTCTCCAAATTATTGATGAGTAATGATGTCAGTTTGAGGACTAAGGTGTGTCTGATTCAGGCCACGGTCTTTCTGATCAGTTGTTATGCATCTGAGAGATGGATAATGAATAAGGATGACAGAAGAAGAATGGATGCCTTGGGGCTATGGTGTTGGAGAAGAGTATTAAACATCTCATGGATGGCCAAAAGAACAAATATTTCCTGGAGGAAGTGCAGGCAGAGTTCTCTTTGGAGGCAAAGATGATAAAGCTTTGCCTCACATACTTTGAGCATGTTTCTAGGAGAGGTTATTTTTTGCAGAGGAACATGATGCCTGGAAAGACAGAGTGTTAGCCAAAGAGAAGAAGACCCTTGACCAGGTGGATTGACATAGTACCTGCTGCAGTGGGCTCTAGTGTGTCAGAGAGTGTGAGGATGGCACAGAGTAGGACGGGGCTCAGATATGTTGTTCATAGAGTTGCTATGGCGCTCGACTCGATGGCAAATAACAACGATGAGTTATCTCATGGGAAGGAAGTTGGAATTGAAATGGTGAGATAAGGTAGCTCAAGGGAGGTTTTTGGGATTTAACTTTTCAAAAAAAATCATACCTTTTTTCTGCTTTTTAAAAAAATTGGTTTGCATGCAATCATTCATATACATTGTGTTTCATTCAGGTACATGGTGTGATACAACATTTTGGGGTATATGTTGAGTTATAGATCTTTATAATTGTTTGTGAATTTCCTGTGTTATGAAACAAAATGCCTCTTCCTTTAATACAAATAATAAGCTACCTATGGTTCTGCTGCTATTCATAGAGGTGCTGTGTGGTTTTTTTTTTTTGTTTTGTTTTTGTGGTTTTTTTTGTTTTTTGGTTGTTTTTTTTTTTTTTTTTTTTGCAATGAAGTGCCAAAAGCAAGGATGGCATTTTCAAGACTAAAGTGTGACTGAACCCGGACAGGATATTTTCAATTGCTTTACATGCATATGAAAGTTGGACAGTGATGAAGGGAGACTGAAGGAGAATTAGTGCCTTTTAATCATGTTGGTGAAGAATATTGACTGTTAAAAGAGCAAATATGTCTTAGAAGTACAGCTCCTTAGAAGCAAGGATGATACTATTTTTATTCCACATATTTTAGACATAGTGAGGAAAGGAGCAGCCCCAGAGAAGGAGATCATGCTTGAAAAAAGTATAGGGTCAATGTGAAAGAAGAAGACCACAGTGAGATGGTCTGACACAGCAACTGAAGCCATGGGCTGACACACAGCGGAAATTGAGAGGATGGCACAGGACAGGGCAGGACGTTGTTGTCCATGGGATCACCAAGAGTTGGGATTGAGTCAATAACACCTAACATGGGTTGGCCACTGAACTCTATCAGATTCCAAACTTCATGTTTGATGTCATTCTTTAAATCATCTTGGTGTACCATCCATTCATCTTTCCTTTTCATGGACATTTTTTTCTCATATTTTGGGAGTTCCTGCTGGTGACTCAGCACTTCTCTATTGGAAGAAAGAGCAAAGGACTCATTTGTCTCACATTCCACAAAGGGACACAGGTGACCAGGAGGAATGCTGAGATGAATGTTGATTTGTTTGCCCCTGCAAGCCCAGACATCTTGAATGTCCCGAGGTAGATGCATCCTAAGATGTGGCTACTTAGAGATAATCAAACTTTTTCTCTGAGAGTGAGTGAGTTTCCACTGTTTTACTCTCTTCTGCACTGACTTTGTCTTGGGGAAGCCGCTCTTCCTTTCTTGTGTTGAAATGGACAAAGTTTTCAGTTTAAGGTGAGAGGACTCCAGCATCCCCAGAAGAGTGGGCTTGGCTTTTGCAAGAGTTTTTTAACTCTGAGCTCTATCTTGATCTGTCTTGTGTCACATGTTAGACTCACATCATGGAGTTCTGAAGGATGGTAGAAGAAAATCTCCTCAACCAGAATATTGTGTATGTGGGATGAGTGCTTCTCTGGACTGTGTGTGTCGGGGAATTGACTGGTCCACTCTAAGGGCCTTTTAGAACCTGTGGTGTAAAGAGGTAGGCAGCCACATGCTCATGGTCTCCCACATCCACTGAAAAAAATCCCTGGAATTTGAGCTGAAGCAGAAGGCAATCCTGGACCAGGATTTAAAAGCTAATTCTCTTTTGGACCATCAAATCTGAAGGTGTTCTCACTTTCTGAACTCTTATTTCTAATGGGTATCTCAGAACATGGATGTGCTCACCGAGTTGTGCCAAGAAATCTGGAGGACAACCACCTGACCAACTGACTTGAAGAGATCTGTATTTGTTCAAATTCCAAAGAAATGTGATCAGACAGTTCAGAAATTATCAAATGGTATCATTGATATCACATGCAAGCAAGATTCTGTTGAAGATTATCCAAAAATGACTGGCACAGCACATCAGCGGAGAACTGCCTGAAGTACAGATTGGGTTTGGAAGAGGTCCTGGTACTATGGGTATTTTGTTAATTTCAGATAGATCTTGGTTGAAAGCAGAGTACCAGAGGAATGTCTATCTGTGTTTCATTGATTATGCAAAGGCATTTGACTGAGTAGATCACAATAAGAACACTTGATTGTGCTTGTGCGAAACCTATACTTGGACCAGGAGGCAGTCGTCAGAACAGAGCAAAGAAACCCTGCATAGTTCAGACTTGGGAAGGGTGTGCCCGAAGGATGTGTCCTATCTCCATATCTTTTCAATCTATATGTGGAAAAGATTATCCAGGAGGCTGGGCTGTATGAGGAGAAGTGTGGCATCAGGATTGGAGGAAGACTCATCAACAATCTGTTACGCAGATGAAACAACCCTGTTTGCTGAAACTGAGGAGGACCTGAAGTGCTTGTTGCAGAAGGTCAAGGACTGCAGCCTTCAATATGGATTGAAGCTCAACATCAAGAAAACAAAAACCCTCACCACTGGGCAGATTGGCAGCATCAGGATGGATGGTGAAGAGACTGAGATTGTTAACAGCTTTAGTTTGCTTGTCTCTACAATCAACACTCTTGGCACCAGCAGCCGGGAAATTAAAAGACAAATTGCATAGGGAAAATCTGCTGTCAGAGACCTCTCCAAAGAAATGCAGACCAACGATGTCAGTCTGGAGGCTAAGGTTCACTTGATACACTCCATAGTCTTTGCAATTACTTGCTATGCATTAAAAAACTGGACAAGGATTAAGAATGGCAGGAAGAGCATTGATGCCTTTAAGCTGTGGTGTTAGATAAGAGTATTGAATATACACCATGGACTTCTAGGATAACATACAAGTTCGTTCTGGAGAGGGTAAAGCCAGGAAGCTCCTTGGAGGCAAGGATTCTGAGGCTCTGTCTGACATACTTTGGACATGTTGCAAGGAGGGACCAGTCCTTGGAGAGGGATGTCTTGCTTGAAAGTGTGGAGGGACAGCTCAGGAGAGGAAGACCTTTAATGAGATGGATTGATTCAGTGACGTGGGTAATGGGGATAGGTGTGTCCAAAACAATAAGATTGGCACAGGATAGAGCAGGTTTAGGGCTGCTGGACATAGGGTTGTTATGAGTTGCAGGTGACTCACTGGCATACAACAACAACAACAACAACAGTAACATTTCAGAACAAATCAGGGCCCTTCAAATATACATGCTGAAGGGGCCAGAAAGCCTGGAGAATTGAATTGGAAAGATAAAAGCTGTGAGAAATTTAGGTCATTTTGGAAGAAACACCCACTGTAGTCTGAGTTTCTTTTGCATCCACAGCTCAGGAAGGCAGAGAAAGGCTCAGCAGGAATCAAGATCTGTAAATAAAATCACCATCAGGCAGACCATGTCCTAGTGGCATCTTAATGAGAAAGTATGGTGCTGTGGTCATGCTGGTGTCCGGGTCATTGTGGAGCTCTGGACTTGCCAACCCCTGCTGTCCGCTTTACCATGACATATGTTGATGATGCAGGCTGACAATGCACCCCAGCTGGTCTCCCAGATACCTATAGAGGTTGCCCTCTTTCTGTGCACTGGCAGGAGCGTGGCTGCCTGTCCTCAGCTACTTATTTGTGTCACAAGACAGGGACCCTGGAGATGCTAACCAAAGCCCAACTTTGTTCTGTGTGTACGTGGAGGCCTCAGAGAACTCTGAGACTATCTCTGGTCTCCAGGACGCATCTAGTTGAAATCTGAGCATGTTCTCGTCCAACCTCTTAATTTCTAGTGAAAAACTCAGTAATTCCTCTTCTTCACTGGAAAGTAAAATGATCTTCCTGAGTCAAAAGCCATGGATAATCACGGAATATGAGTTAATTCATGAATACCAAAATGAGAACATTAAGTTGTCATTTTGAAAAGTAATTTGTTTTGAAAGTTTGTTATTCACTTTGTTAAATTTTTGATAGACCCCGAAAACCAGAGCTCAGACCTTCTGTGTTTTAATAACTTTTCACCTATTGTTCAAGCCCCTTTATGATTTTGTCTAAATGAAGAGAACAAACAGACAAAGATGTCAGAGAAAGAAGCACACGGCCCTGGAGTCTATTTCTAGTTTTTATGTTGAATGAATCTCTCTGCGTATCTTCATCATTCATAGATCTAAGTGCCATTGATCTGTAGAGCAACTTTCCATTCTCTTGGAGAGTTATTATATGGAGGTAGAGAGAAGAAATAGTCCAGGTCAGAAGTTATGCCAAGGCCACAGATGTAAGGAATTGTGAAGGGAAGTGGTTTTTTTTTTTTGCTTTTTTTGTTTGTTTGTTTTTTTAAATGGGGCCAGAGGTTGCTTTATTCTGCAGTCGGGGCTGCTTTAGGCCACTGGGGCTGCTGGGGGTGCCAGGGGGTGGGGATGCGGAGGAAGGGGTAGAATGGAGCGGCGGGGACAGCTAGGCCCCCACAGCCCGGCCGTTGATGATCCTGATGTGACGGATGATGTCCTGGATGGCTTCAGATGTGGTGCCCTGGCCCCTGATGTCTGGGGTGTGCATATTCTCGTTGTCCATGGATGCCAGGACGGCCTTGCGCATGGAGGTGGCGTAGGAATGGAGCTGGAGGTGGTCGAGCATCATGCAGCTTGCCAGCAGTGTTGCTGTGGGGTTGGCGACGTTCTTATTGACAATGCTCTTGCCTGTGTTCCTGGTAGCTGTCTCAAACACTGCGTACACATGGCCATAGTTAGTGCCAGCCACGAGGCCCGGGCCCCCGACCAGTCCTGCACAGACGTTGTTGACAATGTTGCCGTAGAGGTTAGGCATCACCATCACATCGAACTGCTGGGGCCGGGACACCAGCTGCATGGTAGTGTTGTCCACAATCATGCTCTCAAAGGTGATCTGAGGGTAGCGGCTGGCCACCTCTCGACAGCACTGGAGGAAGAGTCCATCGCCTAGTTTCATGATGTTGGCTTTGTGGACAGCGGTGACCTTCTTGCGCCCGCTCTCATGGGCCAGCTTGAAGGCATACTCCGCAATGTGCAGAGACTTGGCCTTGGTGATGATCTTCAGGCTCTCCACCACGCCACCCACGCTCTCATGTTCCAAGCTGCTGTACTCCTCCTCAGTGTTCTCCCGGACAATGAGAATGTCAATGTCCTTGTGCCGGGTCACCACCCCTGGCAGGCTCTTACAGTGGATGACGTTGGCATAAAGGTCCAGGCTGGTGCGAAGGATGTTGTTTCGGGATTTGTGTGATGGTGGCAGGTTGTGGTTTGTTTCGATATTGCCCTTCAGAGCCACACGGTTCCGCCGAATGGCCATGATGGCATTGCGGATGTCCTCTTCGTCGGCATTGGAGCTCACGTGCACCTCCTCGAAGTCCACCGGGACACATGCATGCCTGAACACAGACTTGACATGCAGCATGAGCTCGGGTCCAATACCATCCCCAGGGATCATGGTCACTGTGTGTCGCCCACCATAGTTAGCTGACGGAGGAATTGTTTGCTGTGAGGAGATGCTCCTTTGGGGGGCCTCCTGCGCACCTAGAACCTCCCAAGGACGGTAGAGGATGTCTGGTCTAAAAAGGGTCTTCGCAGCGCCACAAGCGGCCGTCGTGACCTTCAGCGCCATGATGATAAATGACAGCTGCCACATGTCCTTGGGCCGATGACATTTGGATGTGGTTTTATGTTGTCAGGTGTCATCAAGTTGACTGCAACTCTCAGCAAGCATATGCCCAACAGAAACCCTGCCCAGTCATGCCACGTGTTTACAATGCCTGCTAGGCCTAAGCACTTTGCTGTCTCAGTTCATCTCATTGGGGGGTCTTTGTATCTTTCACTGAATCTATACTTTTCCAAGCATGATGTCTTCTTGATCCATCCCGTAGCATCATGCAGATACTGTGTTCTATAGGACTCCAAAGGTGCCACTCAGCCAGTCCATAAATGTCCTGCTAGGAAACACACTATTTTTGGTGTGGTGATCACCCTGTCAAAGTCAGTGGTCTTGCAGAAGACGCAAAGACAGCCATGGAAAGTCTAGAGGAGATTTCCTGTGAGAGAGTGGGATCTAAGGATGTACACTGTTCTATGGGTCAATCACTCAGCGAAATGGAGTTTCCTCAAACCCAAGGTCAATGGCTACCTTTTCTCTCTGGTCTTATTCTGGTTCAGATGCCCTGGCTGAGGCCTCTAACATATGGGCAGTAGGCCAGGTTGGGAAGCATCTTGTGGAACACAGGAGCCTCCTGGGAATGCTTCCCTCAGTTTCCAGCAACAACCCATTGGCTTAATGTCCAGGGAGAGAATTTCTTTCATTTGTTTCTCTGTGTTATTGTTTATGTCACTTCTCCTCCCACTTCTGTTCAAGTCCACAGTAGTTATTTTATTTTTACCTTCAAAGAAGAGCACAGAGGAGGAGAAATCGTTTTGGTGCTTCCTGAGGACCCTGTGAGGAGTATGTCTTAGCGTGGTAAAGCTGACGGAAGGCACGTCTCTGTTTTCTATTATTGACTCCAGTGGAGTGAACAGTGGGCAGGCAGAGCAGGGGCTTAAGTAGGATGGGCCAGGAAGGGGCCTGGCTCATGCCTGGATATTTGGAGAAGAACCAAGAATGGTAGAGACATTGGCTGGTTTCACATGTGTCTATGAAGCCACTAGATGAAAGGGACTATGTGTGTAACTGAACTCCCTTGAATTCCACTGGGGCTGTTCATCCTTTCGAAGGCTTGGGGTTGTGTCACCTTGCACTTGAGGATGGATAAAATGAGATCAAACAATTTCTGGGAGTTAATTTCAACTTGACCCATGTGGGTCAGAGAGAACTCGATCCTAAAGAGTTTTCAAAGGCCGAGGGTTTTTTAAAAATTTTATTAATTTTAATGAACATTTATAGAAATTTTGGATTTCCATTCATTCATTGCTGCATTTTTCACCCTGCCCACCCCTCCCCACCAGTTCACTCTTCTCTTTGAAAAGTAAAAGAAAAATTCCTTCATTGGTATCCACTATCCCCCTGCCCCCAGTACACTCCACTCTGCAACCTTCATTCTGGACTCTTATCATAACCATAATACCCAATCATATATCGCCTTTAAACTGTTCTCTCCCTCATCTATTTCAATGCAGTGTACATTATTTATCCATTTTTCAGTACTAGCTCACCAGCCCTTTCTTTGAAATGCCTATGGGTGCTCTTGAACCCTCAATGTTTCAGTTATCGGCCAAGCATGTTAAGTTTTTCTCACCCAGGAACTTCATAGAGTGAGCTAGTGCTGTAGAAGCTGACAAGGGATTTGAAGTTGCATCAACCTCATGATCTTGTTGGTTAGAAAAAGAAATTGAGGCCCAGAGAGCCACATTCCATTCTGGTGAGTGAGCCTGCGTGACCCTACTCTTTCCTGTGCTATGTGAATATGTTCACAAAATATCTGGGCTGCAATTTACCCCTCAAGCCATCTGCCTCTTTCCCCCTCATTATGCTGCCGATAAAAGTGATGCTTAGAGGTATAAAATGCTTAGAGAGAGGCATACATAGAGCTTTAAACACAGATTTGGGCTGCTGGCATCACTGAAGGACATTTCTCTTTTTTCTCTTATACCAACTTGGAAGACAGTTCTCCTAAGAGGCACATGACCAGGCTCACGTGATGTTAGAAACAAATAGTCCTTCAATGTTACCTTTCTTTTCAAAATGATTTCCCAAGTTTATTCCGATTTCATTTTCATATTAGTCCTCTGTGAAGAGAAAAGCTCCTGACAGCAGTAATTCAAGATTTATCTTTGGGATTCACTATAAACACTCATGACAGCAGCAGACAAGAAACCAAAAGACGTGTTACACTGGGAAAAGTCTCATGTCAAGGATCTAGCCAAAGAGCTAAAGGACAATGACATCTGTTTAAAGATTAAGGTGTGCCTGATCCAAGCCATGGTCTTTTCAATTGCTTCTTATGCATGTAAAAGTTGTACACTGCATTGAAACAGATGAGGGAGAGAACAGTTTAAAAGTGAAATATGATAGGGTATTATGGTTATGATAAGAGTCCAGAATGAAGGTTGCATAGTGGAGTGTACTGGGGGTGGGGGAAGTGGATAACAGTGAAGGAATTTTTCTTTTACATTTCAAAGAGAAGAGCGAACTGGGGGGAGGGGTGAGCAAGGAGAAAATGCAACAATGAATGAATGGAAATCCAAAATCTCTGTAAATAATCGTTAAAATTAATAAAATAAAATTTTTTTTTAAAAAAAGTTGGTCAACAACTAAGGATGACAGAAGAAGAATTGATGCATTTGAATTGTAGTGTTGACGAAAAGTCAACTGACTATTCCATGGACTACTGAAAGAACAAACACATCCATTTTGGAGGAAGTGAAACCAGGGTGCTCCTGAGAGGCAAAGATGGTGAAAGTTTGGCTCACATATTCGGGGCACGTTGTCAGGCCGGTCCTTGGAAAAAGGAATCATGCTAGGTGGGTTAGAGGGTCCGAGAAAGAGAAGACCTTCAACCCGATGGATTGACACAGTGACTGCTCTAATTGGCTCGAGGATGTCAGAGATGTGGGATGTGAGAATAACACAGGGTAGACAAGGTTCAGATGTGTTATTCATGGCGTTGCCATGAGTCATAGTTGATGGGGCCTCACAACAACAACTTCTTCTGGAACTCCACCTACACCCTCCCGTCTTGAGGACTGCGCACTGGGTGTGGAGGGCATACTGATAAGCAGAGGGGGACCTCCAAGTGTCCGCAACATCACTACCAACCTCCTTCCCCTTACTCATGTCCCATTTTGGAGAGGCATTGGCCATCTCTCCATCTTTCACATCACTGAGAAAGTCACTGGCTGAGTTTTCCCGTCCGTCTCCCTACTACTGCTTTCCATATTGCAATGAGTGGAAACTCCTAAAAGGTGTTGTAGATTGGTGGAGACTTCCCAGAGCTCTGGTGAACATCCAGGAAGGGGCTTTGCTGTGGGGTCAGGAAGTCTCTGCTGCATGTGGCCGGAGGCCCATTAAGATGTGTCCTGTGACATGTGGCAGGTGTCAGCTGTGCAGGACAGAGTGCACAGGGTGAAACTGGAGCCTCCATTTTGCATTTTATCACCCTAAAAATATAACCAGACTAAACACACTGCAGTTGAGCTTATTTCCACTCAGGGCAACCCTAGAGGACAGACTAAAACTGCTCCAAAGGGTTTCTAAGGCCATAAATCATGTGGAAGCAAACTGCCACATCTTTCTCCTGGGGAGGGTCTGGGGGATTTAAACCTCTGATCTTTTGGTTATCTGGCAAGTGCTTAACTCCTGAGCTACTACAGTTTTATGACCCTATGTGATTGTAGAAGAATAATCAGGACAGCAGATCTCCGATTCTGTTTGTCTCTCCTGAGGAACAAGAGTTAAAGAAAGTGAGTGAGTGAGTGAGTGAGTGGGCTCTGGGCAGGGCAGGATCCTCTCCCCTCTTGACCTTCATGTTCCTGGCACAGCATCCTGTCCATCGGAGGCTCTAACAGTGCAGATGTCCAACCTCTTCCTGCAAGCAACACCAACCCCTCCTCCGGGCTTCTCTACCATCTGCTGTCTTCATGAGCTTATCACACCCCCCTTTCCAGGTGCGCACTTAAGATTTTGTGTAAATAACCCTGGATGCATGGAAATCTATCCCACACTCCAGGAAGGCAACTCCCCAGCTTTCTCTGGGCACCTGTTTCTGTCACTTCTCCCACACTCACTGTCTGGAAATTCTTTGTTATTACCCAAATCCCACAGGCTCAACTTATTCCCTTCTCCTCCAGGCCCCCTCATCACTCAGATGGGCAACAGCATCTGGGGGCTGAAGTCAAGTAGGATAAATCTGAACACCTGGCTGTTGGTCCTGTGACACCCATCTCTGCTTTGACCTTCTCCAGTCACGCTCACACTTGTTTCCATTTACAAAGCACTTTTCCATCTACACCTCATTGGATATTTAAATTCCATCCTCAAGACACATCAGTTCTGATGCATAATGGATTGGAATAAAGCTGTAAATCAATTCTGAATTATTTTAATTATAAAAAAAGTAAAGACGACCTAGAGACGTAATGAAATGAAAGAGCAGATGCCCACAGATGCTAAGGAACAGAGCCAAAGCCACAGCGCCAGTGAGCAGCAGAGCTGGGTCTCTCCTTCATCTAACTCTGCTGTCTCTCTAGTCCTTCTCTGCTTCCTACATAATTTTATACTCTTTTGTATCTTCCTGATAGCTACATCTTCATGGTGCCTTTCATTCTTATCTACGTCCACCTCTTTCCCCTTCAGAGCTATATGGCCCCAAACAACATTGACACCTTACGGTGTACAGAGGGACACACACACACACACACACACACACACCCCTACACACACACACACCCTCCTACACACATATACACACACACTTACACATTACACATACCTACATACCCCTACACACACACACACACACACACACAGGGACAGAATAAAAGACCCAGAAGTAGATACACAGGGAAATTGAGAAGAAAAGATGTATCGGTGGGCCTAGGAGAAAGAGAATGGAGAGATAACAAGGAAGGAGAGGAAAAAAAGCATAGGTTTCGAGTCAGAAGATTTTCCAGTTTCATCAC